GCTTGGGTTTTTCCACAAGAGAGTGCTCTAATAACCCCAAAAACATAAACGTCAGACTCTAAAATAAGGCTTTTCATTACCATAAATATTAGTTTCACCACATGGGTTGTGAAAATATCTTAGACACTGAGATATGCTATTAGCATAAATTACCTGTAATCTGAGAGGACAGCGCCCTTCTTCAGAATTCCTTCTACCTGTTGTCTGTTGGTACCAAAAACTTTCTTTAGGATATCAAAGCGCTTCATTCGGAACATGAGCTCAATCAGCAGGGCATCACCAGCCTGAGCTTGACCTGCTTGAGCTTGTGCCTGTTTGGCAAATGCCAACAAAGCTCCTCTTAAATCTTCCACGCAGATGTTGTTGAACAAATCTGTACAAAGGTACAGTAGGGTTTTACACTCCTCTTTTTCAAGAGATGCAGTCACATTGTTGACCATGTTAGAAAATCCATCTGCCATTTCACTGTATGACCCTGTACAGATGCTGTAGGTTATAGTTTGGGTCATTTTAAAAGGTGGGAGTGTGGAATTTTATTATGCATTTTAAACATCTATTTGTTTACTTATGAGTCTAGTCAGGAAAAAGTGGGAAAAATTAACTATTTGTCTTTTTTTTTTTTTTTAATTATTGAATGAAAATTGCATTTATCATGATAGTGAGAAAAATCCACTGTAGCCTCATTCATCACATTCTTGTAGAAATCAATAGCCACTTTGGATTTACACCTGTAAAGGGCAAAGCACACACACAACATTAATTTTTTTTCTCTCTCTCTCACAATCAGTGTGAACAAATGGAGGACAACTGCAAGGGCCAGACATACCTTCAACGTCCTTAATTTAGAGAGCCAAAAGTTTTGTTGGTGTTGCCTGCAGACAGGCTCATCTCCTGGTGACACTAAATACAAAAAAATGTGGCATGTAAAGATAATGCGATTTCATAACCAAACTATGCCTTTGATAGATAGCAAGTAGGCTACCTGGATATCCTCAAGAAATACATAGTGCATTTAAAAATCTACATAAACTGTATGTTACATTAGGGTGGACTTACTTTCTTGGGATTTATTTTGCATTTTGGACAACATAATTCACGACTTTTGCGTACAGATTCTTGGAATTTATATTAGCCTAGTATTTCAAAAGCGAAACAAGCCTTAAGAATTCAAGGGGAATCCCGTGAAGAACTCGGTCCCATTGTTAACCTTCCCACGGGATCTAATCACATAACTTGGATCATGTTCATGAGCGAAGAGAACCCACGCAAATTTCTATCGTGCTTTATAGGATAGAGATTCTTGGAACTTTTCAAAGAATCAGTTTCAAAACAGCTCGAGCGATTCGTTTACACTGTGAAAAAAGTTCAACCGATTCCGAATCGCTAAAAAGATCCGTCTCAAAAGAACGATTCGAACTAAAAGATGTCTTTTGATTAAACGACACGTGTCCAAAGCTTTACGTGCCCATTTAACGTTAGTGACGTGCGCATAGTTAAATGCCAACAATCTGTAACCACCGATAAAATAAGATAGATATAGCCTATTCAAAAAGCACAAACTACGCCACTTCGTAACGACAAATGAACTGATGTGATGCGTCAAATATACATAGCCTATTCTGATTTTAAAACTAGATCAAATTACCTTTGACTGACTGGCTGAATGACCTGACTGTGTAACTACGTATTTTATGGAAATGGTATGAAAATCTAATATTATAAACAAACATTGAAGTTAAACGATTACAAAATTAGTAAATATACAATTACAACAGAATGCAAGATATAAAGTATTACCGTTGACGTTGTGTGGCTTCATCTCTCCGACGGACGTCAAAACGCAAAAAAGCGAAAACGAAAGTAACTGACCGAGTCACACAAACAAACCACGCCTCAAAGGGGGATTCTCTAGGGGTAGGGTCAGATAATCACTCGCGCTTACTCATTCTAAAGACTATTGACTTTCCGTTACACTTAATTAGTGGCGATTCTGTTACAGACCGGTTGAATTAAGGAGGGACAAGGGAGGGACTGCTTGTTGACAAGCCGCGATGATAACATTTTTTAAAAAGGTTCGGTAATTATATAACACTTATGGCACACCTTTTAGTTTGTGGGGAGCTGCATAAACTTTGAAAGTCTGAAAGGTCTAACTTTTTTTACGGTGGAAAAACTATATCATTGATAGAACAAACGAAATATTATTTATTATAAACGGTTGAAAAAAAAAAACACCAAGTGCATACTTGTGAAAACAAAACATGACAGTTCATGCTGTAAAAACAGTTTGTGCTTAGAAACCATGTTTACAGATAAACAGGAGACAATATTTCATGTCATTCAAGTGTTGTTTGTGTAACAGTTGTAAGGCTGGCCTAACTGCGGGAAAAAAACAGGTCAAGGTCTTGTAATATGAGCAGAGAGATGAGTGCTGGAAAAGTCCCAAAAGATTAACAAAAAGCAATAATCTCTTGTGCAACAGACTGAAACAATAATTACAATTACTAATTTGAAAAGGCGGTTTACATCAAAGCTGCTCATTTGCAGATACAATACAATTTGAGCTTTTAATAACTGCATAAATGCAAAATTATAATAGTACAACCCTTTTTGTCTTTACATATTTGTGAACATATTCCAAATGATTCCGATCAAACGCATATATCTCTGCTAAGATATTTGGTCATTTACAGGGTTCCCACACTTTTTGTGAGACATGTTTATATAAACTTTGATTCAGACCAAATTTTTTAATGAATAATGAATCATTCCTTTGTGACTCAAAAGAATGATTCTCACAAATTAGGAGCATTTTTTAGTGAAGGAAGTCTTCATAGCTAGAAAAGTGTATAGCCTATTCACTACAGAAGTTTTTTTTAATGAATTCTTATGATTTTTCCAGGCCAGGAAAACCAAAATCCTGATTTTCCTGGCCAGGACTATATAACTCAATAGTCTTTGGGAAAACACAATTGTAACATTTCAGTTACCATGGGAAGCCTGTATTTAGTAATGTTACAATACAACAGTATGCCTAGATAAACAACAGATAAAATGATGATGGTATATGAGGATGAGATGAGTGCTATACTTCATACCTCAGAGCTGAACTCTCTTGGATTTTGAGTTTTTGAGGTGCAATATGAGAACCAGACACCACCCCATCTGAAATAGATGTATCATCCAATAATCTGTGAATTTCCTCATAAGAGGTTTTTGAAATGTAAGATGACAACTTCTGGGACAACTGAGCCATTATCCTTAATGTGTGTAAAACGGTTTTTAATGGCTGACATCCTTGTTGAACACTATTATAGCACCATTATTGTTACACCTGTGGAAATACAAAGCACCACACTATTTCAAACGCTAACACAACAATTCAGTGATTTGGGACATATCCATACTTGGATATGAACAGAATATAAAAAAGAAAAGTATACAAAGTGTAAAATGTTGCTGTTTCTTAGTGGTTGATTCAAGTGAAAGTATCGGTCAAACTAAGAGAGGAAACATTATCTGCTTATCAAGTATCATCAAAGAGTGTGTAATGTGTGTAAAGCAGGCCAAAGGTAAATATGTAGCATACGTCTGATTACACAGAGAGTACATGATAAACTCTCTAAAGATGAAAGGCATTTCCTTCTCATTTCTTAAGCATGTTTATCTAATGAGTTTCAGGCTCAGATTATTTATGGTCACTGCTGTACATAAAAACATTTAATAATTTGATGCTACTCTTCTGCATAGAGGAATCTGATGCTTTGAAGTATAAAGTTGCCTTTAATCACCATATCAGAGCTGACTGACTAAGATTACTGATCAAGTCCTACAATATATATCTGGAAAAAATGTAGTCTAAGTAAGGAGCATATCTGCCATACCGTTATTGTCTTTGGATAAAATCTGGAAGTATGAAACTTCCGACCAAATTGAACTTGAGTGCCCTGAATATAAATCATTACTGCAGGCTGACCATAGTGATTCAGATTAAGGCTGCAGTTCTAATCACATTTACACAGTTTTTATATTTAATAAACTTATATCAGAAAACCTCTTTAGTGAATTACTTATGTTCTAAAACTAAAAATTAGCTTTTGGATATCATCATGAGTAACTGCATCAACATTATTGTTTTTGTCATTCATTTGTATAGCATAGATTAAAATCCATTATTTCCTATTTTAAATGTGATATGGAAAGATAATGTGCTGAATTCTCTGAGTAACTTGGCCCTATATTTCAGTTTTTGTAAAATTTTACAATAAATAGCCAAAACGCAAAGTGTTTCAGACTAGGCTAATTCATGGATGATTCCATAGCAATGTGTACAAATCAATAAAACTGTGCAAAATAAAAGGAGAAGCTCACCCAAATATATACATTTTGTCACAACTTATTCACACTCATGTCGTTCCAAAACGTACTTTCTTCGGTAATGTAAGTTTTTATTTTTGGAACAACAGAAGGGTGAGTAAATCATGGCAGAATTGTTATCTTTGAGTGAATTATCCCTTAAAAGGTTAGTTCACCCAAAAATGAAAATTCTGTCAAATTACTCACCCTCATGTCGTTCCAAACCCGTAAGACCTTCGTTCATCTTCCGAAAAACACAAATTAAGATATTTTCAATAAAATCTGAGAGCTCTCTGGCCCTTCGTAGACAGCAATGCAGCTGCAATGTTCCCAGACCCAGAAACGTACAAGGACATCGGTAAAATAGTCCATGTGACATCAGTGGTTCAACCGTAATTTTACCAAGCTATGAGAATACTTTTTGCGCACAAAGAAAACAATAATAACAATTTATTCAACAATTCTTCTCCCTGAGTTACTGTCTTCCGCCATTTTGGCGAGTACCCCAGAACGTAATCAGCGCTGTTTACATTCAGCATGCGTGCGCTGTCTACTGAACGTAAACAACCCTGAAAAAATATCTTAATTTGTGTTCCGAAGATGAACGAAGGTCTTACAGGTTTGGAACGACATGAGGGTGAGTAATTAATGACAGAATTTTCATTTTTGGGTGAACTAACCCTTTAATATGAATGCTCAGGCTTGAAAACAAGTTAAATGCTGTCAAAAACCATTTTGACTCATTTTTATGTTGAAAAGAAAAATCTTAAAACTTCAAGTTGACTGAAAAGTCTGAAGACATATCCTGTCCAAGTCAAAATGATCTTCTTCAGCATGCCACAGATGCCATTGACAGAACTTAACTTGTATTAACCAAAAACATTCCTTAAATCCAAAAGTTATTCCATCCATCAAGTTCACAAAGTAGAAGTGTGCTCAACATCTTCCATCCTCTTCCCCTGGAGGGTCCCGGACAGAGTGTCAGAGTCCAGCAGCTCAACTACATTATACGGGGCACAGTCCTCCAGCCCCAGCTTACCACACATCCACCCACAGAAGCCCTTCTCCAGGTCCCTCACCGCCAACCACCATTCTCCAAAAACCCAGGACAGCTGGGTCACGGCAGCGTACACCCCCATACAGACACACAACGTCATAATCAGCACGGGATATAGCAGAATGAGCAAGGGACACACCGTGATCTTGTGCAGAAAGCTGCGTTCCTCATTGTAAACCAGGAAAACGTTGTACCAGGTGAGCGTCCCGTAGTAAAACGATGTGATGAAGGAGAGAAGGAAGATGAACGGCGAGCAGGAAAGGCTCCAGAGGAGAACATGAGGGCCCTGACTGACCCCCAGCGCACAGGGATTTTGCTTGGCTTCCGCGACCCCGTCACACTCTGCATCTAGACGCTCTTTGGAGCGCGCCATGTCTCTCAGCTCTTTGTCAGTAAGCGTCATATAGATGTCTACCATTTGGCCTTTCCGCTTTCCCCGTGTGATGGTGCCAGTCAAGGTCACAAAACGGCTGTCAGGAAGGATATCCTCTTCTTCTGTGAATGAAAGATAAATATTGAGAAGGATATTGCATGAACAACAAATTATTATAAATAAATCTGTCAGTTATATGGGAAAGAGGAAATGGACTGGAATTGGAATGAACATTGGAATGTGTGCAGTCCTTGCCAGCAGACACAAAAAAATGCCTTGAATTAATTAATTACTAATTACAAAAAACGAGCACTTATTTCACAACTAATACTGTACTATATTTCATTTGTATTTATTATTATATAGAATGTATTAAAAAGGGTTAGTTCACCCAAAAATGAAAATTCTGTCAAATTACTCACCCTCATGTCGTTCCAAACCCGTAAGACCTTCGTTCATCTTCCGAAAAACACAAATTAAGATATTTTCAATAAAATCTGAGAGCTCTCTGGCCCTTCGTAGACAGCAATGCAGCTGCAATGTTCCCAGACCCAGAAACGTACAAGGACATCGGTAAAATAGTCCATGTGACATCAGTGGTTCAACCGTAATTTTACCAAGCTATGAGAATACTTTTTGCGCACAAAGAAAACAATAATAACAATTTATTCAACAATTCTTCTCCCTGAGTTACTGTCTTCCGCCATTTTGGCGAGTACCCCAGAACGTAATCAGCGCTGTTTACATTCAGCATGCGTGCGCTGTCTACTGAACGTAAACAACCCTGAAAAAATATCTTAATTTGTGTTCCGAAGATGAACGAAGGTCTTACAGGTTTGGAACGACATGAGGGTGAGTAATTAATGACAGAATTTTCATTTTTGGGTGAACTAACCCTTTAATATGAATGCTCAGGCTTGAAAACAAGTTAAATGCTGTCAAAAACCATTTTGACTCATTTTTATGTTGAAAAGAAAAATCTTAAAACTTCAAGTTGACTGAAAAGTCTGAAGACATATCCTGTCCAAGTCAAAATGATCTTCTTCAGCATGCCACAGATGCCATTGACAGAACTTAACTTGTATTAACCAAAAACATTCCTTAAATCCAAAAGTTATTCCATCCATCAAGTTCACAAAGTAGAAGTGTGCTCAACATCTTCCATCCTCTTCCCCTGGAGGGTCCCGGACAGAGTGTCAGAGTCCAGCAGCTCAACTACATTATACGGGGCACAGTCCTCCAGCCCCAGCTTACCACACATCCACCCACAGAAGCCCTTCTCCAGGTCCCTCACCGCCAACCACCATTCTCCAAAAACCCAGGACAGCTGGGTCACGGCAGCGTACACCCCCATACAGACACACAACGTCATAATCAGCACGGGATATAGCAGAATGAGCAAGGGACACACCGTGATCTTGTGCAGAAAGCTGCGTTCCTCATTGTAAACCAGGAAAACGTTGTACCAGGTGAGCGTCCCGTAGTAAAACGATGTGATGAAGGAGAGAAGGAAGATGAACGGCGAGCAGGAAAGGCTCCAGAGGAGAACATGAGGGCCCTGACTGACCCCCAGCGCACAGGGATTTTGCTTGGCTTCCGCGACCCCGTCACACTCTGCATCTAGACGCTCTTTGGAGCGCGCCATGTCTCTCAGCTCTTTGTCAGTAAGCGTCATATAGATGTCTACCATTTGGCCTTTCCGCTTTCCCCGTGTGATGGTGCCAGTCAAGGTCACAAAACGGCTGTCAGGAAGGATATCCTCTTCTTCTGTGAATGAAAGATAAATATTGAGAAGGATATTGCATGAACAACAAATTATTATAAATAAATCTGTCAGTTATATGGGAAAGAGGAAATGGACTGGAATTGGAATGAACATTGGAATGTGTGCAGTCCTTGCCAGCAGACACAAAAAAATGCCTTGAATTAATTAATTACTAATTACTTTTACCAATGAAGGGCTATTAGTTTGGGATTGGTACAATTTTTATTTATTTTTTAAACAAGTCTATTATGCTCACCATTAATTTGATAAAAATACAATAAAACAGTACTATTGTGAAATATTATTATAATTTAAAATAATTTTTATATTTATTAATGTGATGGCAAAGCAGAATTTTTATGATCCTTCAGAAATCATTCTAATATACTGATTTGGTGCTTAAGAAACATTTATTATCAATGTGTTGAGTAAAACTGTTGGGCTGCTTAATATTTGTGTGGAAACTGTGATACTTTTTTCAGGATTCTTTGATGAATAGAAGTTTAAATGAACAGCATTAATTTAAAATAGAAATCTTTTGTAAAATTTGAATTGTATTATACCCTTGCTGATAAAAGTATTACTTTATTTCAATAAAATAAAATAAAATAAATAATTACTAGTACATAAATAGTACATTAAAATGTACTAATGTTTCTAATTTTCAAGACACCTTTACTAGGACTACACTCTAAAAAATGCTGGGTTAAATACAACGCAGTGCTGGGTTTGTCCCTATTTAACCCAGCACTGCGTTGTATTTAACCCAGCAATTTTTTAGAGTGTAGAAATTTACAAATATATTATTCCCTGATGTTGCAAGATTTTCTGGAAGAAAAATCTATCACCCAGAAGACTGTAAAACAATATCTAGATAACTGACATAAAATGATCAACAAGTATAAAACATACAAGATAATATCATGTCAAATTTAATATGAGAGGACAATTACTCATGGTCTCAATCTGGTGTGTTCTGGATAGAAAGCACAGGTGGTATGGAGCTGGTGGCATCATTACAGTAAGCAAACAAAAGATGAATTTCACTGTACATGAACAAACATCACAACACAATGAGTTCACCCCCAGATATCATATTTTCACCTTCATCAAGTGGAGGACTAAAGGCTCCATCCACATCCGCCGAGGTTCCCTCCCCAGCATCCTCAACCTCCAGGTCAGAGCGGTAGATGATCTCTTTCTTTTTCTTTTTCTTCTTCCTCCTGGTGGTGGTTTCCTCCTCCTCAGCTGACCTCTCAAGCATGTTCACTGGGGTCTCCTCTGTCTCAATCACTCCCTCCAGCTCCAAACCAGTGAGGTCTCCAGATGCCCCTTCTCTCATGACTATGAACCCTGCGAGATTCCTATATGATGTCTGTTTACAGCTCCTTCTAGAAGGAGAGAAAAAAAATCACAATCGTCTATTATACGTTACTTTGTTTTGCATTACATTGCAACACATCGCATTTTAGGACCTGGCACTGTCTCAAGACACACCCCACGCTTACTATCTGCTGTAGATTTAAACAATACAAATGTGAGAATGCACAGTCCTTACCTCGAATAAATGCATGTAGAAGAGGTCGCTTGCGTATTTAGTTTATCCTTTGCAAGTGCTCACCACGTGTAACATTTTGGCGCTGGGTTTATTTTTTCGGACAGTACCACACCGAGGACAACACATCCCCCTCGCGCCGCTAATGCCATTGTTTGGCCAATCACCGGCTTGCGCGCAGCGCTCAGTGCGCATGCTCGCTTTCTGCGGCGCTCTGCCTAGCAACCGGTGCTCTGCTGAGCCTCAATTTTTAAATGAGTTCTGAGTAAAATGCCAGAAAAAAGCGATTAATCATCTATTCCCCCCTGCCACTGAACTACAACATGATAATAATAATAATTTTAATAAAAGTATGATTTTATATTTTAACTCAAGCAAAAAGAACCGCACTGCCATGTTTGAAAATCACTCATTCATAATTTCACCACTGGTAATTAATTAATTAAAAAAAAAAAAAGTAATTTTCTAGTAATCTTTTGAAATATCCCTTCAGCTCAGGGGCATCGGACAGGGGGCAATAGAGGAACTGAGTAACAGGTGTCCCCGTAATGATATACTGATAATCTATAACATCAACATGACAAAATTAAATAGATATATAGTTATATACTATGGTACTAGGAATAATTTTCGCAAGACTCAATTTTACAACTGTAAAAAAGTGAAATGTTCCTTATTTGTCTAGCAGCTTGTGTCCTCCCATGTTAGGTCCCCCTATCAAAAAGGGAAATGGTTTGGTCTTGTAGTCCAGTTTGTGGCGCAGAAAAGGAGTCTCGCACTGCAAAACAGAACGTGATTTTGCGATTGCGATCCCCCAACCAAAGCACAATGGCGCTGTATGTTAGTGCGCTGCCCACAAGGCTATCGCCGCTGACCTGATATACCATTTTATAGGCATATTAATTTCCAAAGAAGTTATAATAATGCAACGGCTTACAAGTTGTTACAACAGAGAATGTATTTTTTAAACAATACATTACATGTTTGTAATCTCATGGTGACAGCTGATAAATGTTTTTTTGTTTTTAGAAATCTTACAATTACAAATGCTATATTCACAATATCATACTATTACGTGTTTACACTGATTAAACACAGTTCTATTTACACAGAACTATTAGAGTTCAATTGTGCAATGATAATGAAATTCAGTGAGCATCACAAAGGCCACAGTCAAGATGTGTTAAAAATTCCCAGCAAAAAAACATTTGTGGTCCACCCACACTGTGATGAAGAGCAGCTGTTTGACAGTCTAGACTTGTTTTGTTATGATTCACAGCTTGGATTTGGTCATGTCCATGATTTCTCTCAGTATGTCTGTATTTTCTCCCTCTGGGGCTGGAGGCCAGGCTGTGTGATCTGATTAGAGAGACAAAGTGAAACAGAAACATACTCAAATAGTAAGAGTAAACGTCCGTCCTAATTTCGAAACAATAATAGCGTGTCTTATGCCGTCATCTGACTAGAAAATGGGTACCTGGTATTTCCCAAACAGAGTGGTAGAGGCTCTGTCCTGCATCGACTTTCAGGGTTGCTCCAGTAATGTAGCTGGCAGCCGGGGACAGCAAGAAACATACAGCAGGCGATATCTGACGCAATTCAAGTAAATATTTTCATCTCATGTTATTTAAACACTAATTTTGTCATTCTGTATAGTGTATATATAGTCATACATATAGCCAGAGCTGGGTAGGAACTGATTACATGTAATCTGGATTACATAATCAGATTCCAAAAATTAAGTACTTGTAATTAGATTACATTTTAAAATACTTGTAATTAGTTACTTTATTTATTACATGATTACATATTATTAACACAACAGCAATACTGATCCACTTGAATTCCTCTATTTCATTTTTTAAATGTTCCTTTCTAAAATAGCCTACTGCTTATATACACTCAGAAAGTCTTCAGCTTTGTGGACATTCACACAAAGACCAGTCATTAGTCAGGTGGCTACACAGCATGTGATTGCTGGATTTACAAAAATAATTTCAGGTTTAAAAAGTGTTTCAACATTGCATCAACTAATGATGAACACATAATTGAGGTTATTTAACCATGTGTTACTACGGCTTTGGAAGGCTTTTGTCTTTCGAACACATTAGACTGCACAAATTCATGTTATTCGTCATTTAAACAGTATCACATTTGCATGTTCATGGTTCTCTGAGGTTGATTAATGGTCACATGACATGCAGGTAAACAAATAAAATGTTTCATTTTTTTAGTAAGTGTTTTATGTTGATTGATGTTATTTTGAAATGACTTATTTTAATTGTACATTTTTATGATTTAAATATTAGCTTGTCATTAAACGCTGCCCACAAGGCTATCGCCGCTGACCTGATATACCATTTTATAGGCATATTAATTTCCAAAGAAGTTATAATAATGCAACGGCTTACAAGTTGTTACAACAGAGAATGTATTTTTTAAACAATACATTACATGTTTGTAATCTCATGGTGACAGCTGATAAATGTTTTTTTGTTTTTAGAAATCTTACAATTACAAATGCTATATTCACAATATCATACTATTACGTGTTTACACTGATTAAACACAGTTCTATTTACACAGAACTATTAGAGTTCAATTGTGCAATGATAATGAAATTCAGTGAGCATCACAAAGGCCACAGTCAAGATGTGTTAAAAATTCCCAGCAAAAAAACATTTGTGGTCCACCCACACTGTGAAGAAGAGCAGCTGTTTGACAGTCTAGACTTGTTTTGTTATGATTCACAGCTTGGATTTGGTCATGTCCATGATTTCTCTCAGTATGTCTGTATTTTCTCCCTCTGGGGCTGGAGGCCAGGCTGTGTGATCTGATTAGAGAGACAAAGTGAAACAGAAACATACTCAAATAGTAAGAGTAAACGTCCGTCCTAATTTCGAAACAATAATAGCGTGTCTTATGCCGTCATCTGACTAGAAAATGGGTACCTGGTATTTCCCAAACAGAGTGGTAGAGGCTCTGTCCTGCATCGACTTTCAGGGTTGCTCCAGTAATGTAGCTGGCAGCCGGGGACAGCAAGAAACATACAGCAGGCGATATCTGACGCAATTCAAGTAAATATTTTCATCTCATGTTATTTAAACACTAATTTTGTCATTCTGTATAGTGTATATATAGTCATACATATAGCCAGAGCTGGGTAGGAACTGATTACATGTAATCTGGATTACATAATCAGATTCCAAAAATTAAGTACTTGTAATTAGATTACATTTTAAAATACTTGTAATTAGTTACTTTATTTATTACATGATTACATATTATTAACACAACAGCAATACTGATCCACTTGAATTCCTCTATTTCATTTTTTAAATGTTCCTTTCTAAAATAGCCTACTGCTTATATACACTCAGAAAGTCTTCAGCTTTGTGGACATTCACACAAAGACCAGTCATTAGTCAGGTGGCTACACAGCATGTGATTGCTGGATTTACAAAAATAATTTCAGGTTTAAAAAGTGTTTCAACATTGCATCAACTAATGATGAACACATAATTGAGGTTATTTAACCATGTGTTACTACGGCTTTGGAAGGCTTTTGTCTTTCGAACACATTAGACTGCACAAATTCATGTTATTCGTCATTTAAACAGTATCACATTTGCATGTTCATGGTTCTCTGAGGTTGATTAATGGTCACATGACATGCAGGTAAACAAATAAAATGTTTCATTTTTTTAGTAAGTGTTTTATGTTGATTGATGTTATTTTGAAATGACTTATTTTAATTGTACATTTTTATGATTTAAATATTAGCTTGTCATTAAACTCACAAACCCCCTGCAGTTCCTTTACGAACCCCAGTTTGGGAAATCTTGACATAATGGAATGTTTATTGCACTTCATGTTGTTAATTACAACAAATGGAATATATTTTCTTACTCTTTGCATTGTATTTTTCATCAATATGGCACAAGATGATCCTATTTAAATCAATGTGATGAATGATCAGGTCAAAAGTAATCAAAAAGTAGTCTGATTGTATTATCTAAAATGTAAATGTAATGGATTACGTTACTAACTACAATTTTTGTCATGTAATTTGGCAATTTGTACAGCTATAATTATAATATATAATATTTTAAAATGTCAACATTATAATAGGTTATATGATACCTCCTCAGGAACACCGAGTCTTTTAGCCGGACTGAATGGCACTGACATCTTAAACATTGTTGGGCCAATTTCTTTGTAGTTTTCCATTGCAGTTTTGGAGATGATAGTTCCCTGCATTCAATAAACACAAAACAAATGCACATGCACTGTTTATGTGGTATAAGACCAAGTGGAAGTTTACACTGAATTGTTGTGAACATTGTAGTTAAATTAGAATTACATTACAGATAATAAACACATGCCTTTTTAGCAAAAACTTATTTGAGGCTATAATACTATGGAAACATTTTCATGCAAGGCTATTTTTCCACAGTTCATTTGCTTATATTGACATTTTCATTTTATCCAAAGCACCATGCAAATGAGGAACATACTGTAAATCAAACATTCATATCAACCCGTTTTTTCAACGTCCCTGAGTAGGGAGCACTATTCAAATACAACACATGCTTTTAAATTGTTTCTAAACTGGCACTAACCGGAGCCACAGAGTTGATCCGGACCCCATTGTCAGCCCACTCAATGGCCAGGCTCTTGGTCAGGTTGTCCACCGCTGCTCTGGCCGCTCCTGTGTGCCTGTCATAAAAATGTTTTAACAAATTAAAAAAGAGGATTTAACCAGCCAAACAATGCAAAGTAATACACAATATTTTTTATTATATTGTTATAATGTCCAACTCACGCCATTCCAGGAAAACCCTTCCACATGTCTGCAATGATGTTCACAATTGCACCTCCATGATCTTTCATCCATGCATTGTATGCTATGAATTAAGAGCAAAAATTGCTCTTAAGTAGCCTTTGAATTTGTTATGCAGAATTGTCAACATGTCATTTCAGAAATAAAGTTTACAATTTGCACATTACGATCAAAACAAACAGCAGATAAACTGCTAAACTGTATGTCTCGCATTTCACATTGCCATTTATGCCAAACCTTCTTTGCAGCATAAGAACGTTCCGTTGAGGTTAGTGTCAATCACAGCTTTCCAGCCTTTTGCACTCATCAAGTTCACTGGGCTGGAAAACTGCCCACCTCCATTATTCACCAAAAAGTCAATCCTCCCATGAAGCTTCAGAGTGGAGGCCATCAGGTTCTTCACCTGTTAAGAACGGGAGCTAA